GGTGCCTTGTTTCCCTCCCGGATGTCCCCGGCCTCAGGCGCGGGAGGGTGGTGGGGCCCCCTCCGAGGGCTGGGTGCGCTGCCCGGCAGTGTGTTCGCCTCAGCTCTGAGGCCGGCGCCTCTCCAGCGGTGTCCCGGGTGGGTGTCGGTGGCCAGGCTCTGTCCGCTGCTCTGCTCGCTCGTCCTTCGGGAAGAGGCCGTGGCTGTGGGATTTTCAGGTAGCCTGTAGCAGTTTTAACCTCCCTCCCACCGTGCGCATTGCTGCATGCCAGCCCTTGATGTGCGACGGCTTTCCTGTTTGAAAGAAAACGTCCCTTTTTCTTCTCTAGTTCTTCACGGTGCTGAAAAATGTCAGGTTTTCTTGAGAGCTTGAGGTGCTCGGAGTGCGTGGACTGGGGAGAGAAACGAAACACGATCGCTTCTGTTGCTGCGGGAGTGCTGGTATGTTCAGCTTCTCTTACGCTGCTTTTGGGCTTTGTGGATATAGTCAGCTGTCGATGGGGTAAAAATTATTAGGTGTTTGGAAGGAAGAACAGTGAGGGATACATTGTCCTTGTGTGTAGCTGCAGACTTAAGGACAAAATCTGCTCTGGGTGCTACCAAGTGTTACTTAAATTTCACAGTTTCTACCTATGTAATAGCTATTAGGAGTAAGCAAATCTCTGGCTTTGCATTTAACCTTGTTCCTAAGTTGACAGCAAAACTAGTTATGCTATTAGTTGACTCCAGGTTGGAGACTGTAAAAATGATTTTATACATTAATGTTATTTTTTCTAGAGCAATCTTACATACGGTTAAAAGGCTTGTGTATGTATTTTAAGCTATTGAGCTCTTTCTTCTTTTTTTTTTTAATAGTTTTTTACAGGTTGGTGGATAATCATAGATGCGGCTGTAAAATACCCTAAAGTGGAAGACTTCAACCATTCATACCATGCTTGTGGGGTTATAGCCACGATTGCATTCCTAATGTAAGTGTAATTTCAGATCAGAGCTACACACTCCTAGACCTTACTTTATGCAATTCATAAAAGAACACATAGTTTTTAAATAGAGAGGTAACTAAGAATAACAGATCAAGTTACTGAGTATCTCTAATATCTTTCTTATATTTGTTGATATTTATAGTAAGGAACCATTTTTTTTAAAAATTGTGTTATACAGATCCAAGTCTTGTTAGTCTCTGGAAAAATGCTTTTTTAAGTTTTATTCTTGTCCTCCTTTAAAAAAATACCAAAAAATGCAAGAAAGACATCATCCTTTTCATACAGATTTCTGAGAAGTTTCTCTGTTGCTTTGTAAACACTTACTTCTTGCTTTACCTTTGCTTACCCAGTTTGGTCCTGTTTTGCTTGTACAGGATCAATGCGGTGTCTAATGGACAAGTGCGGGGTGACAGTTACAGTGAAGGCTGTCTAGGACAAACAGGTACGGTGGCATTGGAAGAGTCATGAGGACTGTACTGGTGTGCGCGTTGTGTATCTGTGCATAGCCTTGTGTGTCACAGAAGGTGAAACAAATGCGGACACAGGCGCAAAAGATCCCTACGTCTTTTTCAAGGTGCTCGGATCTGGCTGTTCATCGGTTTTATGATGGCTTTTGGATCTCTGATTGCTTCCATGTGGATCCTTTTTGGAGGCTACGTTGTTAAAGGTAAGATACAGTATGGAATGTGACCTGATCCTTTTTTTAAAGTTTAAAGTATTTTAAATACTGAATTTTAGAACTTAGTTTCTAGGCAGGCCCAGTTCCCTACTCCATTCCATGACTATTATTGGGATGGATTTTATCTACGTCTCGGTCACAAACTTCCAACTAGCCTCATTAGAAACACAGGTCATGGTCAACTGGGAACTGTACTGATATAATTAAACTGCTGCAGTTATATGGGAATAATTCCCTGGGTGAACGCTTATTCCCAGAATAAAAATCACTAATTTTGTGCCAATTGCTCCTAAAGCCTATATACTAAATTAGCAAAGGGAAAGAAAAAATTCACATTGCTTATTTAAATTCATACCTTAACATGTACCACGGTAACTTTTTGTGAAGACAAGTCTTGAGAGCCATGAAAACTGCGGTGTGTTGTTTTTCAAATGGAAGTAAGGTCACTTAAGTACCTGTAAAGACACTACTGCTTGTACCTGGAGCTGAAGTGAATTTCACGCCAGTCAGGGCACATTGGTGGGTTTGTTTAATTTACATTCCTGTCAGCTTTGGCCTTACTCAAGTCCCAGGGGATTTTCAGGGAAACCGAGGTGCATTAGTTGCTACTAATGTCCGCTCCCGTTTTGTATATTGTCATTATATATAGGTTTATATACTTACACATGCATGCATTCCAAACAGCATGTGTAATCCCATGCGATAATTACAGCGTTTTGGGTTAGAGAACAGGAGAGGCTTCTTTTATTTGGAAAGCGAAATGATTTGGGGACGCACAAAACCCATTGAATTAACTTTCCAGTGAGGTGAGGCTTTTGCTTGTCTCGTGTGTCACGCAACTGAGCAGCAGAGATTGCTTCACAGTGCATGGACTCCACGTGTTCATATTTAAATGAAACTGGTTATCTTGGCTATCATAGCGCAACTTAATGTTTCTGAAACATCAGAGGTGGGATATTCTGGAAAATGACTTCCAAAAAATTTATGGAGACTTTTTTCTTTTGTTAGAAAAACCAGTAGTATACCCAGGAATAGCTGTGTTTTTCCAGAATGCGTTCATCTTTTTTGGGTAAGACTATTTTCCTATGTTAATTTCTTATTTAATTTGTTTATAATGATTAAAACTGAAACACGCTGTCATCTGTTTTTTCTTAAGCCCTGTCTTGTAACAAGACATGGGTGAATAAACTGCTGGGGAGGGCAGGAGACGTCTGGGATCTGTCTGCATAGGTTTCAATTTTGTAAATTGAATTTACAAATAACGCAACTTGCTCCCTGAAATCATGTAGTTAAAATACTAGGTATTTGATTTGCTCCGTTATGTACTCATGTCCCTTTATTCTGTTTTAAACAGAGGACTGGTCTTCAAATTTGGTCGCACGGAAGATTTGTGGCAATGAACATGCCTGTGGAAGTGCGTCAGCCAGGCTGGTTTTTTAACTGCACGCTCCCCGGATTTTGTAAAACCATTTTGTAAGCGGTGATCTTCAATAGTGTCTAACGATAAAACAAGGAAAACTTAAATCATAGCACTAAAACTTCTGGTTCTATTCTGTTTAATTTTTTTACTCTTGTTATGTTGATGTAAATGTTGTCATGTTTTTGACAAATGTAAAATGGCTACAAGTAACAATGGAAGTGACTTTTATGATACGGTGTTTCGCTATAAGTAAACAGTATAGTGGAAAATGGGTGTATTTAACCAGCTGTTTCTACGATGTTATTTACAATCCAAGACTTACTAAAAATGCTTTAAAGCAACTTTTTAACATATATTTATTAAATATTTCCTATATCTGGACAATATAGCCATTTCTTCAATTTCAAAACTTACTGGTGTGTGTCTTTTCTTGCGCAATATAGAACTGTGCTGCTTTGGGACTCCCCCCCCCATTTATTTTATCTTATGGCGATAATAAGTAACAACTTACTGTTGCTGTGGATGACACTGTAGAGGCACAAGTACAAATTGCGTAGTGGCTCTAGATGGAAGTAGCTCATCCCCAAAGCTTGCTGTCAACTATTTTCTAACCACTGTAAAACAAAGGAAGGGTACTGTTCTTCAGAGCAGAGTTCTCCTTGGCAAAGAGTTCTCCTCACAGCAGGGACAGTCACTACCAGGGAGAATTTTGATCCAGTGGCACGCTCACTTGAGGTGAGAGAGCTCTTTCTGTACCTGCCCCTTCCTATATGTTCACCCAGGATCAAGAAATCAACAATAAAAGACACATAGGGAAAAGGGAGGGAATAAAATACTACTCCTTAAAAGCATGCCTGCTAGAAAACAGCAGAAGCCATTTGTATTGCAGCAGTTATGTTTGGTTGGTTGCTGGAAAGTTAAACAAGTGAAGTGCACGAGTTGAGCCGGGATTACACAGGTAAGTAGTGTGTTAACTGTGAGACAGTGTGACTCTGTAGGCGTGCATCCAGGCTGAGTGTCACCATCAGCTGGCGGGAGCTGTGGGCAGCCGAAATGCTCAGCAGATCACTGGCTATTTTGTGACAAAATAAGAAAAACTGGCCCTTCCTCCACAAGTAACTTTTCATTACTGGAAACGTGTCTGGCGCTTCTGTAACTGTCGTGATCTACTTTGGTTAATGCCTAACGAATGAATCAAGGTCAGCAGGCATTACTGCAGCCAGCATCAAAGAACTCCTGCTTTGTCTTCAATGTTACGCTTTCCTCATTATTTAATTTTTAAGCACGTGTGCTGAATAAATAAAAAACAATCACATTTTGATTTTTTTATTATGTAAGCATTTTTGAAAGAGTTTTTCTATGTCAAGTAGTTTCAAACAAAGAAGAAACACTGAGGATTGCAATCCATTTAAAAACAGGGGTTTGTTGGCACAGAATCCTCTGCCCCATCAGGCCCTAGCTCCCGCGCCAGCTTGTCTCCGAGCAAAGACGCTCCAGAAACGGGGTACCAAGGACTGTTCCCTCGGCCTCTCCAGTTGTCTGCACCCTGACCCTGCAGCGGCGCGGGCTGTCCCTACCCGACAGGCTCTTCTGAGGTTTGCTGCCGAGTCTTAAATACCAGTAATACAATTGATTTCAGGGGCAGCATCCACAAGCAGAACAATTTAACTTCTTGCCATTAGAACTTCCAAAGAGGTAGCCCAAGCCAAGGAATTACAGATTTTTCTTTAAGCAGTCAGATAACTCAGAGTTCAATCTGGCAAGATGCAGAGTTCTGGCCCTGATTCAGCTCACTCATCAAGTCCTTGCTTAACATGGCTTTCAACAGAATTAATTTAGCTTAAAAACAAGTACTTTAACGCTTCACTAGATAAGAATGAATACGTACTTCTTGAAAAATTATACTTTAAAATACATATTGGCTTTTAAACTTGGGAGCTAAAAAATTAAGTTTGGGAGCTTAATGTTTCCAAGCATTTTGATTGATAAGCCATTATAGAAATGAATATAGCCAAGTTTTTGGTACATATCCTACAAAAGATACTTAAGGTAAGACTCACAAAGCAGAGAAGCGAAATACACTGTAAGTTTGCATCTGTAAATTTACACCCTGTACCTTTCAAGAATAACTGGAACGGTTTATTAGTAATTCTTGTGTGTGTCCATTGGGATGGCTTTTCTGAGCCTGAGAATTGATACTGAAGTGTTCTTTCAGCCCAGCATAGCTATTTGTTTTCTCTGGGGACAAATAAGAAAAGCTTATCTTGGTCAAATCGGTCATCTGGGTTCCTCCATTCAAAATCCAACAGCCAAATGGGGAAACTGTGAAGACAAACATTTTTGTATCAGAACATTTCATGCAGCAAAACATCATGTGAAAAAGGCAATGGAAAAACGTTATTAGAAGCTTATTCTCATCTATTTCTTTTTTCTGTAATTCAGATAGAGGATCACATTCAGCACCTAACGGTGCTCACCTCATGGCAGCAAAGCTCAGAATGCAATGAGTTCACCCATTTCAAACAGGGCATCCGAAACCTACTGTGAAAGGGAATTATCCCCCCCCCCCCCCCTTTTTAAAGCCTACTGTGAAAGTGAATTCCCCCCCCCCCCCTTTTTTTTTTAATTCAAATACCTGAAGTTCTTCATTAAGGTCAACAAGGTGCTATATATACTCCCACACAGTTAATTTTACATTAAAACTTACCTCCCAATAAAACTGGTCTTCGAAGTACTTTAATACGGGGACGGTCTTAAACACTTTGAGGTTTAAGATTAAACCTATTTGTAAAAACAGATATATCCAATATAAATACATACATAGGGAAAGCGGAGGATTGTGTGTAACCGGAGGCTTCAGTAACACACATCCAAATGTAACACAGATCAAAATACAAACTCAGAACTAAATGTTTCAGCAGAGTCCCTTGACGCAAGCTGACCTTAAATACAAAGAGAGAAGCTTGCCAGGATCAAGGCTTGTGTCATTAAAAATTAATTACTCTAGGTAAAACCCCGTAAAACAGCCTGCCAGATTCTAAAAATACATCAAAAATCATTAATTTCTTGCATGAAAAAGGCCTGTGGATTTAAAGCAATTGGGCTTATCAGCACTGTTGCTTGGGATTTCAGATGGAAACATCTAGATTTTTAAATAATCAGTTAAACACTGATTATTTTAGCTGAATATTTTTTGAAAAATCTGCTTGATTACCTCAACTTCTTAATTACACTTAGGGTAATGCAAAGATTTTGGATCAATTAAAAGCACAAAATAAAATAATTTTACAGTGTATTTCACAGTAATTTTCATCTGCCAGAGGAAAGACAGAATTAACAGCTACAGAAAAAAAGCAGCTGCCATAAACCAGAATGTCACATGGGAAACACATGATCTCAAACCACTGGTGATCAAAGGCCTAGTGCTCGGCTGATGCAAGTGAGCTACTGACGTTAGCGAAATTTTGCAGATTTATACTGACTGGTCCAAAAAGTGACAAGCTTTAGATAGCATTTTTCTGTCACTAAGAAAATACCCAAATGTAAAAATATTTTCATCCTCACACATCTCCCGTCTGAAATCTGAAGGCAGCTGTTAAGCATCTGTTAAAATCAACTTCATCAATGAAAGAATGGTGCTACTAAGTTATTTATGTTGAATATATCTCTTCAAAAGACTGGCTTTAAAGAGTCCCTGGCATTATGTTTCCCATAGCTTCTTCTACAAATAATTTACCCACAGAAACACACTTTAGAGCCCCAGTTAAACTGGCCTCTTTCTGGAAAGGGTTGCACTGACATGATAGCAGGTGCAATAAGATGACGTACCCCTCGCCGCAAGGAAATGAGGAAGATATCACTGAAATATGTTTTTCAATACTGACCTGTAATAAAACCTGCTATCAAGGCAACACTGATGGTCAGGCAGAAGGCACCAAGAGGAATCATTACCAAATAACCCAGTCTGAAAAGCAAAACAAGCATTTCGCATTAAGACTGTGAATGAATTTGTGTCTACATGGCATTGTACATAAAAACCTCTCATAGAAATTCTGTTATTCTCTAATCTCTCTGCAGCTGCAGCTAGATGTTTTAGAGGATGCTATCAGAAGCCTAATATAGACTTTAGAGGACATATTTTGCCCTTAGAAACCATCATCGTGGTACTAAAACTTCCTTAAATGTATTTGTTTCAATAAGAACATGATGAGAAGTGTAAGGTCCTTACACTGCACTGTGATTCACCCCTGCGTAAACCAAGAAAAATCAAAGAACTTCTCGTATGACACATCAGCAGCTTGATTTTAAAAAATAAGATGCCAGTGCCCGACCAAAACCACCTATGGAAAATATCCTTAACTGAGCCCTTCAGCTTTTGCAGGGTGTCTCCCTGAGTATATTTTCCAGTTCAGAGTCCAAATTGGCTTGAGTCCAAACTAGCATTCTTGCCCCTGACTCAAAGTTAAAGCCTCATTTGAAGAGAAATTATGATTTTTGCCCTCCCATATTAGCATACAAAGCTCCCCAAAACGAGTCTTGGAAGGATGCACATCCCCAGCCTTCATCTCCTATGGCTGCTGTATTTAATATCATAATAAAATGGGAGACAGAAAAAAGGACCAAAAGTTTAATATTAAAGTTTTGATCCAAAGTCTGCTCAATTCTGAAAGTCTTTTTTTATTGACTTCTTTGGACTTTAGAGATTATCTCAGGTTATCTGATATAAAATGATTTATCTGTGATGATGTTCAGACTGTCTGTATGCATGAGAATTCTTCTCAGGGCACACTACAATAATGATTAGCTAAGCTTATTACATAATAGCAAGAATTTAGGTACCTTGGTGAATTAGTCCAGTTTTCTATTACTAAGAGAACAACCTGGGCAAGGGCTCCAAGCACAGCAGGCAAGCCAAAAGTGAAATGAACTCCAGAGGTATCATGAATCTTGAGAGCAGGATTCAAGCATCTCTGGGAAGAAGAAAAGGTTTAATTGATATACAGAAACACAAGCTGATAATAGGATATTGTCTATTGCAGACCTAGAAAATGAGCTTTGGTCTTGCATGTTGCAATCCTGCACTCCACTCAAAGGACTTCAGGTTTCCTAGCTTTAATCTCTTTGAAAGAGAGGTTTCCCTTGAAGTATCCTACATTTGAGAAGAAGTTTATACGGCTTATACAAAAACAATTTCAGGTTTTGAGTATTACCTCTAAACAGTAAGATCCTAATACAGCTATCACACTGGAGAGCAGACCCAAAATCATTGCAATCCAAGGATACTCGATATTGTGTGCTGTATAACCAACAGTGATCCCACCAGCTAGCACTGCACTGTGGATATGAGTCTAAAATAAAACAACAAAAACACAGAGTGAGAATTCAGTCACCACTTAGACCAGCCCAATATCATAGATTGCTATTCTCACGCAAGTGCAATCTCTGTAGGGCAAATTTGGGCCTCTGTATCCTCTGAATTACAATCTGAGAACATAATTTCTAAGTTAGAGCTTCAATGTTCTGCTTGGGAGTCTAACAATGGCTGACAGGCTGAAAAACTGGACTTGTTTTTACTTAATAGCTATTATACTTTCAGTAATTCACTGAAAGTAACAGAAAAATATCTTCTCCACGCAGTGATTTTCTTTGATGTCTTACCATTCTGAATTTTCCGTCCTTTGTGGTCAGAACAGACAACATGAAGGCAGTTACAGCACTCACTGCAAGGGCGAAGTAGGTGTTGTAGATTGCTTTCATCTTGCTGTCCGCAGCTAGTACAGAATTGAAGCTTGGCCAGAACACCCAGAGAAAGAGAGTGCCTTGGAGACAAAGACAAGCAGCTATCACTACCTGCTCTACACCACAGCGAATCCACCACAGGCTGTCTCTGGAGGGCTCTGGCCCACATTTTGCATTCTCTATAATTCCCATACTGTAAACAAAGGACAACACTTCACAATGCAGACAGCTCTGAGAGTTCCCTGCTATACCAACACCTTCCTAGAAACAACCACTGTAATGTCAGACATACAGGCTGAGGCACAGGTCTACCAGGCCTTCACAGAGTTGAAGGTAGGATCAGCTTTGTCCTATCTATTGTCCCCTTAAACAGGTTCAGATACAAGTGGGAACAATTCCACTGTTGATTTCCAAACAATCAGCATCCTGCCTGTTCTGTACAGGCACCAGGGGCTTGTTGCTTGGCCGAAATTTCTGCTCCTTTTCATGGAACTGTGGAATAACTGTTCAAAACCAGGTGCAAGAGAGAATGAAAACAAGCCCAGGAGGAAGAGAAAACAGCTCACGTGCTACAAATCACTATAAAGAAACCCAAGGTGCACTTTGGAATGTCTTTTACCTTGGCTGCCAGTACGACTGGTACTGGTTGTCTTGCCTCCTGGCAGGGTTTGAAGAGAAAAAGTGGATGAGCTGAATCTTAAGAACAGAATCCTCTCTACCTCTACTGGGATTACTCCAGAGGAGGGCTAACGACCAATAACGTGAGCTGAGGTGACCATGCTTCACCAACTCAGCTATACACAGCCTTTCTTGTTATTTGTGAAAGAGTTATCTACCAAATAGCTATTCCCTAGTAGGTCCAAAAGAACAATTCACTTTCCTCCTGCAAGATCACTGCAGTGTCACACTTTCATGACCACACAGGCTTTGCTAACAATAGGTACGAAAACAGGTTCTCCTGCTTCTATGACCTGGGCCCTAGTTGTCAGCATTTAGGAATCTCAGCCCCTATAAAACAAGTTCACTGCTTGGCAGGATATATCTTTTTATAGGTGCGCATGGATACAGACACATAGATCAAATTCCAACCTGCAGAGGGAAGTAGGTGGCCTCACACCAAGTCAACTTGACACATGGCTCTGAGTGCAGAGATGACAACACAAACAAGTGACAGTTTATTTTGCCTCATCCAGTCATTATATTTTGCTGTCCAGTCAACTTCCATAGCTAATGTTCTGTTCTTCATGCTACAGAGGTACCACAGCCTTGTGCAATTCACCTCACAGTAAAATTTTAAGTGTTCTTTTTCAAGTCAGTGAAGAAGTGACACAGGCATTGTCACTATACAGCACAATGGTTAAATCCAGCTTCTAGCAACCCTGGCAGCTACTGCTTTTGTACAAGTTTATCTGGGCTCCTTGAAATTCAATTTCCATTGCTAATTTTCACCCATTCAGTGCACCAAGGCAGTGATGAGGCTTTGGGCAATGTGGTTTAGTGGAGGGTGTCCCTGCCCACAGCAGGGGGGTTGGAACTAGATGATCTTTAAGGTCCCTTCCAACCCAAACCATTCTACGATTCTATGATTCTATGATAACCATGCCTCTCAGACAGAAGAGGCAATTCAAAACCTATGGTAGCAGTGAGGACTAGTGGAATGATCCGCACTATGACAATCTTATTCCCATTGATTAGGTAGTTAGTCAGTCATTAAAAAAAAAGTAAAAAAATCTACTAACGGCATTGAAGCATTCTTATGAGTATCTGCTCATCTATGGAAATAAGTGTCTCAATATGAATTCAAAGACGGGTGAAAACCTCAGCACCCTTCACACAACCCTCGGAAGCAGGATGCAAAAAGGAGCTATGAGGAATTTGCCTGCCTTGCTACCCAGGTTACCTCAGGAATTTTTCAAGATATGGCAATATAATTACTTGAAATAGCAAGCACATGGTTGTAGCAAGCTGCACTAAAATTATAACAAAGGCTTAACAGTATCTTGACGAGCTAGATTAAAATCCTGATCTCCTCAAATTCTCCAGCAAACCAAGAACTCCAGGGACTCAAAAGAGCGG